GTGTTACCCGAGGGGGATCACACATAGTTCTTCTTTAGAGTTGCGAAGTCAACCACGACAAGCATGTTTAGACTGTTGGGTCCTCGCTTCACGCGTGTCATTCTGCCTGCATACCCCAAGCCCTCGATAATCGCCCTATTCGTCTTCGATCGTGCCCCGTTTGGTGGGCACATCTTCCTGTGCAAGAGCGCCCCGCGGCAGGCGCGAAGAACAAAAGGGGGGGCCCAGCTTCAAGCTTCCCCCCCTCCGTGCGCCAGGGGAGGGGGAGGCTTCCGAAGCTACCCTTCGCCCAGCAAGCTGGGAAACTGAGGGAGGAGGTCGGGGGGGCCTTCTGAAGCCCACCCCCTCCCTTCTTGTGCTGGGGTACATCCGGTCTGGGCCTCGGAAGCTACCCCCCCTTCCCCTTTTGCTCATCGGAAGCTCCCCGCCCCCCCTCCGTTGGGTTTCGAGAGTAAGCCTGGGCTTAGTTTTCATAGGGCGGGGGGCGTTTGAAGCTACTCTCCCCCTCCCCCCTGTCCGAAACTGGGAGTTGCCAGGGCTCGGGGGGGTGGGGGTTAGGCTACCCCCCCCTCCCTTTCTTGGGGCTGAGGCCACCTCTTCCCTCCGTTCTAGGCATTTGTGGAAATGCGGGGCAGTGCTGCTGCTCTGGTCGTCGTTCTCTTCGTCGTCCTCGTACTCGTCGTCGCCGTCGTCGTAGTCGTCGTCACTTGTCTTCCTCGTCGTCGTGGTCGCTCGTCGTCGTCGTCGTCGTCGTCACCGTCACCGTCTCCGTTGTCGTCGTCGTCGTCGTCGCCGTCGCCGTCCTCGTCCCCGTCGTCCCCGTCGTCGTGCCGTCCTCGTCCTCGTTAGTGTCGTCGACGTCGACGTCGTCCTCGTCCCCGACGTCGTCCTCGTTATCGTCCCTCGTCGTCGGGGGGAGGGGGGCGTTACGCTAGGCCACCCCCCTCGCCCCCTCCCATAGCGCCCGTTACTACAGCCGCGAATCTAAAAAAAACGCACTCCTTCTCTTCCACTCCTCGCTCGTCCTCCACGGGCGTGCGCCCGCCTTCCTCGTCGTCCTTCCTCGTTGTTCCGCTTTCTCCGCCCTGAGTCCTCCCGCAGCCGCCCTCTTCTCCTCCTTCGGCCGGCGGCTTGCGTCCTTGCGCCCCCCTCTTCTAAAACAGGGCTAGGATCGGGATACATCGCTCCAGAGCGTTCCGGAGCGCTCTCAGAGCGTTCCGGAACACTCTGGAGCGGCCGCGGCGCCCAATACATACTCCAAACCCGCCGATTCTCAGAGATTTCGAGTTATCCCGATCCGATTTTGTCCCGATCTTCGCGTCGTTTTATCCTCCGTCCTCCTTGCCCCTCCTCGCCTCCCCCTCTCCGCATCCGGAGTGCGGCCCCTTCCCCCTCCCTCTCTCTCCCTCTGCTGCTCTGCCGCGGCGCCTCCTCGCGCGCCCTTCCCGCCCCTTCCCTCTGCGGTCGGAGCCCTCCCGCCCCCCCCCCCCTGCTCATGTCCTTAAGTCGGGCCTGTCCCACTACTGGGGGATTTTCAACGAGAAATAAAAAATACCCCCCCAACAAAAATACTCCAAAAATAGTCTGGGGACTATTTTTTGAATATTTCCTGGCCTTTTGGGAGTATTTTTCGTGTATTTTTTATTTGTCGTCGAAAATCCCCCTGAAGGGGGACACGCCCGACATAATCATATCCTCGCCCGCGGCCCCGGCGAGCAGGGCGCGCCCCGACACCCTCCGTCACCCGCCGCCGCCGCCGCACCCCCCCAAGGATATGCACGGACCTCGACGGGCAGGCAGACGCGCTCCGCAGCGGCGTGGCTGGCGAGGCCCCTCCCTCCCGCGGCGGTGCTGCGCGCGGGGGGGGGGGAGGCAGGGAGGAGGGGGGGGGGGGAGGGACGGGGGAGGGAGGGGCAGGAGAAGAGGAGCGAGGGTCGGAGAGGGAGAGGGGAGGGGGGGAAGGAGGAGGGGAGGGGAGGCGAGAGAGGGAGGACGAGCGAGAGGAAGAAGATGAGGAGGGGCAGGATATGAGGGAGACATTACCCCGCGACGTGCCCAGCCCATGTGCAACAAATGAGGAGAACCGTTGGGCAGCAGAATTCCCACGGACGATGGCACTGCAAGGACCGGCATGCGTCGCAAACACTACACGGGAGGCCCACGCGCTGCGAGACTTCTGGGACACCGATCAGAGGGCGAGGGCGGGATGGAGGCAGCGAAACCGCAGGCTCGAAGGGGAAGGGGGCCAAGAGAAGGAAGAGGAGGAGGAGGAGGAGGAGGAGGAGGAGGAGGAGGAGGAGGAAGAGGAGGAGGAGGAGGAGGAGGAGGAAGAGGAGGAAGAGGAGGAAGGGGAATGGGGCCAAGAGAAGGAGGAGGAAGAGGAGGAGGAAGAGGAGGAAGAGGAGGGGGAGGGCGAAAGCTCGCCCAGGCAGCAGCGGCAGGAAGGGGAAGGTGCACGAGGAGGGCAACAAAACGAGGAAGGCGGTGGAGGGAGAGGCGACGCTGTCACTGCGAGTGGCGAGCCGAAGCGCTGCCCACGCCGCGTCCTCCAGCGCGCAGGACGGTCCTCCGTCGCCAGTGCAGGAAATCTGAGCGAGGCCGAGCTGAAGGGGCCAGCTGCTCGCCCTTTACTCCGGCACGACCCCGCGCGGGAGTTTGCACGCAGGCGCGCCGCCCGGTCCGCGGGCGGCCCGCGGGATGTGCAGCCAGGTCCCGCATCATCAGGAGATGGTCCATCTTCGTGACCCTGGTCATAACGTAGAGGACCTCTACGTTATGACCAGGGCCACGAAGATGGACCTCTACTAGAGGTGCACCTCTAGTAGAGGTCCATCTTCGTCATGACGTAGAGGACCTCTGCGTCATAACGTAGAGGCTGCACCTCTACTAGGGGTGTAGCCTCTGGGCGTCCATGTCGTCCGCGACGTTGCAGGCGCAGGCGATTGCGACCCCGGCTTGCCTGGTCCGTCTTGTGACGGGCCGAGGAGGTCAGGACCCTGGCGCGGGAAATAGCCAGGCCTGCGCGTGTGCGCTGTGCCAGCGGAAACCGAACACACTCGAGGTGTGTGGATCCAGAGCGACCAGTCTCGCCACGTCTGGGGCGTCGATGTTGCCGTCGTGCTCCGCAAGGTGTTCACCGAGCGTGGCAGTCCTGCACGTGCCCATGCGGACCCAAACGCTGAAAGGCAGGTCTCGCGGGTACGCGGGGCGCCCCTCTGCTTTCGCTCTCTCTCTCTCTCTCTTTCTCTCTCTTTCTCCACCGTCCCTTCACCCCGAGGGCTCACGGCCGCGCGCACGACAGCACCTTCGGCGTCTTCTTAACGAGCCCTCGGTGGAAGTCCAAATGCTCCAGCGGGTGCAGCCTCATGCCCGCGAGCAGGGGCAGCATTCCGCGCAGGCCGCCCATGTCGAGCCCGGGCTGACCTGGTGTGTGTACCCGTTTCGCGGCCATGTCCATGGGAAGCGCCGCGGCGAGAACGAGCCGGCGGCCTGGACGAGGCAGGGCTCCTGGCCGAGGGACCTGGCGTCTCTCAAGCAGTGGCGATGCGTCCTGGCTCGCCGATGGGCCCACCAAACAATGTTCTAATAGGGTTTATGATCTGAGACCTTGTATTTGTTGTTACAGCATTGTTGGGCTCTAAGAGCATGCCGTGGTAGGCCTACAGGAATATCACCACCCACCAAACCACCCCAACCCAACCCGAAGGCTCAGATTTACCCTCGATTTCTAGTTGGGGGGGGTCTGGGAACATCGAATAAACAGATATGGAGCCCATACCCCCCCCAACCCGAAATTCGGGTCTTCGGGTTGGGTTGGGGTGGTCTGGTAGGTAGTCAAATACCGGGACGGTCGGGCCTTGCTCAAGTCTCTCCTCGTGCGCATCATCGTCCACCGCGCCGCGGCGTCCCAGAGCCGGGCGGCCGTGCATCGTCCCTGGGTCCGCTCCTCGCCCAGCCGCTTGTCCTGTGGGCTTCCTCGTTGGGTTTGGTCCGAGTTCTCCGCGATCTCGTCGGGCACGTTGCCTTTTTTGTTCAGCTTGCGCATGAGTTTCACGAGGTCGGCGAGGTCCCGAACATTCGAGTTGTTCGTGGCCTGGAGCTCGAAGGATAGGGGGGTGATGCCGAATATAACTGCATGGCGTTCTGGTGCTCGGCAGGCGGCCCTTCGACCCGCTGTCAGCGGCCGCCTACTTGCGCGGTTCAGACAGCAGCGAGATCCTTGTGCCAGCGGGGCTCAGCTGCATACATCGCAACCCCCCTAAGGGCGTCGAGGTCCCGCTCTGAGGGGCGTGAGACGTCACTCCGCGGTACCCCTTCGCAGCCCTGGAACGCGGTGACAGTTTCGCAGTTCGGAGCCCCCCACTTCCATGGACGGCGAGATCCCGCTTGGATCTGCGTGAGACGCCACTCCACTGCACCCCCCAGCAGCCTTCGAACGTGCCAACTGTTTCGCAGTCCGCCACCCCAGGGATGTTCGTGATCTGATCTGCGTGAGACGTCACTCCACTGCACCACCCAGCAGCCTTTGAGAATTGCAGCAGTTTCGCAGTTCGCAGCCCCCCACGGATGGCGAGGTCCCGCTCTGGTTTGTGTAAGGCGCCACTCTGCTAGACCACGCAGCAGCCGTCGAAAGTGGCGACCGCCTCGCAGTTTGCAGCCCCCCATTGAGTGGGCAGTCCCGCTGTGATATACGTAACATGCCATTCCGCTGAACCCCCGAGCAGGTGGCGTCTGCTTCATGTTCACAAGCCCCCAGGAACGGCAAGGTATAAGGGAAAACGCGGGATGAGATAGGCTGATCGGAGGCTGGCGGGAAATAGAAGAGAATGGGAGGAGGAACAGGAGGAGGATGGCGGGAGGAGGAGAAACGCGCCCGCGGCACTCTACTCAAGCTAACGGGCTGTTAGGGGAACTGCAATAATGACGCTCCTTTGTAGGTGCGCAACGTCAGCCAGCGAGGCAATCAACCAGTGAGCGAATGCACCGTGGAGGAGTTCGAGCTGTGCGTCGTAAGCTGTGTGGTGTCGGACACGGTGTGCACGCTGTGTGGTGTGTGAGCTGTCTTGTGCAAAAGCTGAGCTGCACGACCTGTGTGGTGTGAACGATGTTGTGCAAGCTATGCGGTGTACAGTCGGGGCGCTGAACAAGGAACCCTTTTCGTTGGGGAGGGGCTCCGTGTTCCTTAATTGTTTCGCAGCTTGCCGCAGGTTGTCCTTAGGTTTTCGATGGGGAATCGAAGTTAAATTTTTATGGAAAAAAAGCATTCCTTACTTAGGGTTCCTTAGGTGAACGCCCCGACTGTACGCCAAGCGGCGTGAGCTCGGCTGGGCAGGCCGTGCTGCCCCCCCGCGGCACGGGGCGGCCACTGGCGGCCCCGGGGCGCCCCGTGGGCGGGTGCCCACGGAAGCCTCGGCGGAGCATCCCGAGGCCGCGCGGGCGCCCGCGAGCGCCCGCGGAGGCGCTGGGCGGGCACGGCCTGGGCGGGACAGGAGCCCCTCAGCATCGAAGACGCCTACACTCTGGGCGATGCTTAAGACAACCCAAGTTTTCGGGCAGATTCTCGATGATTCTTCATGTTTCAATGCAGCTCCTAAGGTTTTAACAGGCACTCTGGGTTTTTAGCCAAATCCTGAGACTATGAATTTCTTAACCCATGATTTCTTAAGCATTTTTCAGGGTGTATCGAAGACGCCTACGGCGAATCACCGCCGCCCCCTGCCTATGTGGCCGAACGTTGAGGCCAGACCTGCCAAGGTATCGGACCATGTGTTCCCCGCATCGGTGTGGAAAGCCTCCGGGGAACACGTGGGCATCCTGAAGGCCATCTTGGCCGTCTTGGAGGCCTCTTGGGCGATCTTTCGGCCATCTTTGGGGGCTCTTGGACCGTCTCGGGCCGTCGGAAGGCCGAAAAGAAGGAAATGTCGAAATCCGCCAAAAACCTAAGGCAAATCCATGTTTTTGGCCTCTTCTGGCGTTCCTGGAGGCCCTCTTGAGGGCCTCTTGGGCCGTCTTGGGCCAGCTTCGAGCCAACTTCGGCCATCTTGGTGGGTTCCTGGCACGTCTGACGCCGTCGGGAGACGTCTTGGGGGTCTTGGAGGCCACCTAGGGCGTCTTAGAGGCCATCTTGGGCGTGTTGGAGGCCTCTTGGGCCGTCTTGGGGCCCTCTTGGGGCCATCTTGGAGGCCACTTGGGCCGTCATGGGGCCCTCTTGGGGGCCTCTTGAGACGATCTTGGGGACATCTTGGGACGTCTTGAGCCGTCTGAAGGCCGAACAGGCGAAAATGCCACAATCCTTCAAACACCCAAGGAAAATCAATGATTTTGGCCTCTTCGGGCCCTCCTGGAGAACCTCTCGACGGGCTCTTGGGCTGTCCTTGAGGCCTCTTAGGGGCCTCTTGGGCCGCCTTGGGCCATCTTGAGGCTATCTCAGGCCGTCTTGGGTACATCTTGGGCCGTCTTGGAGGCATCTTAAAGCCATCTTAGCCGCCTTGGAGGCCATCCTAGCCGTCTTGGAGGCATCTTGGAGGCCATCTTGGAGCCGTCTTGGGCAGGAAATTGGGGAATTGAGGTCCTTGGCAATCCTCCCGGGACCCCGACGGGACGCGCCGGAGCCCCAGGGGGATTTCTTTGGGAGAAAGAACCAAAACCAAAACCGTAATAGTCTGGCACGCCAGGCACCCCTGCGATGAATCGACAGGGGGCGGCGGATCCAGCTGCCTCCGGCAGGTCCCGCCACCGTGACAGCCCAACATGTTTGGGTTGCGTCGGTTCGAGGGGGCAAGGGAGGCCGTCAGGTGTGGCGCCTCATGTCTCCAGGTTTGGAAGTTTTCATGATAACGATGCTGCTGCTGATGATGATGATGATGATGATGATGATGCTGATGCTGATGCTGATGCTGATGGTGATGGTGATGGTGATGGTGATGGTGATGGTGATGGTGATGATGATGATGATGATGATGATGACGCTGATGATAATAATGATGCTGCTGATGATGATGATGATGATGTTGATGCTGATGCTGATGATGAACCTGATGATGACGAGGAAGATGAGGAGGAGGAGGACGAGGAATAGGAGCAGGAGGAGGAGATGGACGAGGAAGGCCGTCATATCTTACACTTTTCCTCTTCACTGTCTGCGCAGCTCTCGTGCAACTCCTTCGGACCACTTGGGGCTGCCCTGGCCTCCTGTGAAGCAGTATTGGAGGTCCCTTGCGGCCGTCTGGGGCCGCCGCGGGGCCCTCTGATGCCGTCTCGGGGCTCTACAGGGCCGTGTCTGGGCCCTCTTGGTCGTGTGGAGGGTGTCGGGGGGCCGTCTTGGGCAGCCGAGAGGCCGTCTAAGGCCGTCTCGGGTTCCGCGGGAGGCCCTCTTGGGCCGCCTTGGGGCCGTCTCGGATGCTTCTTGGATGGATGCCTCGTGGGCCATCAGGCTTCATGGGCCGTCTTGAGCTGACCCAAGGCCGACAAGGCGAGAAACCGAAATCATTCAACAGCCAACGGAAAATCCATGATTTGGGCTTCTTCGTTCCCTGGTGGAGGGCCTCTTGTGGGACTCTTGGGCCCTCTCGGAGGCTTCTTCCGCCGCCCTGAGGCCATCTTGGGCCGCCGTGGAGTCCATCTGTGACCGCCTTCGAGCCGTCTTTGGGCCATCCCGGTGTCCCCGGTTGCCAGTCTGGGCCGTCTCGGAAGCTCGGGACGCACAGCCATCGTGCTTTGCGAGGGGTCGTGGCCTCGGGCGCGCGGCTCCATCGTTTGCGGTGGCGGACAAGAGCAGCTCTGTGAAGGAGGAGATGGGAGGAGAGGAGAGCAGAGGCGAGGTGAGGAGAGGAGAGGAGATGCGAGACGAGACGAGGAGAGGAGAGGACAGGACAGGAGGGGCGAGGGGAAGAGAGGAGAGGAGAGGAGAGGAGGGGAGAGGATAGGAGAGGAGAGAGAGAGCAGGCGGGAGGGGGAGGAGGAGAGGAGGAGGAGGAGTGAGAGGGAGGAGGAGGAGAGAGGGATGGAGAGAGAGGAGGAGGAGGAGGAGGAGGAGGATAATGAACATACCGATGGGAAGGAGGAGCTTTGGAGGGGAGGTGAGGGACGGAAAGGAGCCAAGGGGGCGAAGGAGGGCCGAGACGAGGACCCGGACCTCACACCCCTCTATCTTCTCAGGCTGGTGGCGGCGCAGACGCCTCCCCCATGCGTACACACATATTCACGCGTATATCTCCTCCTCCTCCTCCTCCTCCTCCTCCTCCTCCTCCTCCTCCTCCTCCTCCTCCTCCCCCCTCCCCCCGCCTGCTCCTCCTCCTCCTCTCCTCTCTTTTCTCCTCTCCTATCCTCTCCCCTCCTCTCCTCTCCTCTCCTCTCTTCCCCTATATATATATATATAGGTGTATATCTTTGCGTACGTATGTCTAGATCTGCATGTACATACACACATCTGCACACGTACACAGATGCATGCTTTTTATACAGGAATAATCACGGATGTGCTTGTATAGGCCATCATGCCGATCAACTCAGGCAGTGGCGAAGCGTCCTGGCTCGCCTATAGCCCTACCAAACAATGTTCTAATAACATTGTTTTTGAGATTGGAACATTTCTGGCCGGGACCGTCTTGTTTTAACACATTGGGCCAATGTTCTAAGAACATTGTTTTTGAGATTGGAACATTTTGGGGTTCTACGAGTATTTCGTGGTAGGACTAGAGGAATGCCGGGACGGTCTGTCCCTGCTCAATATACACCTATACCGATAGAGAGACACGTATCTAACTATGCAACGACGTCGAAGGCAAAGCCATCGTCGTCGTCGTCCCAGCCATCCCCTCCCTGGGCTTCGGCATCTCGCCCTGGGTCCTTTCTTCACGGCCCATGCGGTCTAGCGTCGGCCCCCCGGACTCCTCCACCTCCTCCTCCTCCTCTCCTCCCTCCTCCTCCTCCTCCTCCTCCTCCTCCTCCTCCTCCTCCTCCTCCTCCTCCTCCTCCCCCTCCTGCTCCTCCTCCTCCTGCTCCTCCTCCTCCTCCTCCTCCTCCAGCTCCTCCTCGGCCCAGCGTCGGCCCCCCCCAGACGACGAGGATGCACAGAGCAACGCACAACCAGCGCGGCCGGGAACTCCTGGCTCCGCGTGGCACAACTCCTGCTCCTCCTCCTCCTCCTCCCTCTCCTCCTCCTCGTCCTCCTCCTCCTCCTCCTCCTCCTCCTCTCCTCCTCCTCCTCTCCTCCTCCTCCTCCTCCTCCTCCTCCCTCTCCTCCTCCTCCTCCTCCTCCTCCTCCTCCTCCTCCTCCTCCTCCTCCTCCTCCTCCTCCTCCTCCTCCTCCTCGGGTCGGGGCTCCAGCTGCCAGCAAAGCGGCCTTGACTTCGGCCTTTGGAAGGGTGCATCGCCTCTTGAAGTCTACAACAGGAGATCGTGATGAGCATGCCTCGTGGACGATGCATCCCGTGCGCGCGCCATCTAGCGTGCACGTGCCACCTCCGAGTTGGAGCGTCGATCCGTCTTACGTTGTTCTCGGATGCGCAGCTGAATCTTGGTCCCCAAGAGTGGTGTTGTTGTTATCGTCGTCGTCGCCCCACGGAGCTCCCAAGGAGGCGCCCGCGACCCGCCCCGATAGACTCGCACGCGCGAGGGCCGTTCGACCCGCTCAGCTCTGCACCACGGCCGCGTCCAAGAGGCCCTGCCGCATGCCGTGAGGGAGCCGGACAGGCAACAGCACAAACAGATCGGGGCTCAAAAGACGGGGGTCACTGCACACGGGGGTTCATTCAGAGCGCCAGATCTTGCAGGAGCCTGCAGAGTCAGGGTTGTATTGACCTGGGTTTGGGTGCAGGATCCTGCAGGATCTGGGAGGTTCCTGCAAAGCCTGACTGAGACTGGTCCCGGTCTGGAACGACCCAGGTCAGTAGATCCCCGATTCGGTGCGACACGCTATCCGCTTTTCCATCCCCAAGCGTCAACGTCCAGAGCTTTTCAGGGCCCCCCGCCCCGCGGAGCGGAGCGAGGCGCTATCCTC